TTTTCATGGAAAATTCCAGAAAACTGTCCCTAAATCAAGCAAATGTCTGGATGTTTGGCCAGATTTCTTTGGGTTTAAAGTATGTCTATGTCAAAATGTACATACTGTATATGTTTGGATACGTGTCTGCATATTGGGGTCTCATTGTGATGTACAGCAGCTTTCCCAACCTTTTTGGGACCCTGGATGGGCAAATTTACATTAAAATGTTGGATGTCTGCTAATTCCAAAAAAAATTCTGCAGACTGGCAAAGTTCCTTAAAATTTTGAACACTCAAAAGTGGGTGCTTGCAAGACTTTAAGGCAAGCATTTAAGAATGTTCCGTTTTTTTTTTTTTTTTAATCAAGAACAACTGAGCAGTGGAATGTCTTCAAAAGTTAGAATGGTGGGCTTGAACAAAGGTTTCTTAGTCTGAAAAATTTAAATAATTTATTTCAGTGGGTGAAATTTTTTTGAAGTTTAATTAAGAGAAAGGCCACCTTTGATTGTTCATTGGATGATTTTAAACTGCAGTTGTCTTTTGGACATTTCATATGAAAATCACAGACTTCATTGTTACTTTTTTCCAATTTAATATGGTGCAGAAAATTGTCCAGGGACCGGCAAAAAAAATTCAGCAGACCAGCGCTGGTCCGCAGACCACGGCTTGGGGAACACTGCTGTACAGTATTGTACTGTGTTCGTCTGCTCCTGATTCATGAGTGCATTGCTGAAACGTTCCTGATGAACAGAACACGAAATAAATTCGTTAATCCCAGGACTCCACTGATGAAGTGCATAAACTCCTTGCGGTTGATTTAGTATGGTGTTCCTATTTTTTCTTCGTGTCACTTGTCATCTTTATTGTGGCGAGATGACCAGCATGGGCACTTTCTGAAGCTATTCAGGTGGAAACGATTTCCGCGAATTCATAAAAAGGATTTTTTTAAACGAAGTGTCCATTTCTGGCTGAGCAATATTCTAGTTCCATTAAATTTCCGGTGATGATACAACTGGGACATCCCCCGTTTCGATTACTAAAAATTCCTGTAACACGTACTGCTACACTTTTCCCCAAGTGTGTCCTCGGATCATACTGAGAAATTCAATGGTTCATGCATGATTCAAAGTATTAATTCCCGTTTCTTAATGCATTGCTGAAGGTTTGTTAAGGTGGCCAAGATATACAGTGGTCAAATCTCCTTTCATCATGTGCAGCCATCTCCATTTGCTTGCAATTAGGTCCCATGTTGGCATCACAAAATGTATTCCAAGGTTTTGACCAATATTTGTCAATTGTTGACAGTTTTGCAGGTATGATCCTGAATTCACTCGCCAACTCATCCTTCTTCTTTTTGCCACCATTGACCTCTCCAATAATTCTTAGCTTCTGATCAAGAGTGATTTCTGGCATTTTCTTCTTTGCAGTTTTTAATTGCCCCTTGTGAGGGGCTGCAAAAAAGCATTTGCAACTTTGTGAAATCAAACAGAAGAATGATTGCCATGACTGTAGGATTTCACCATAATTTTTAGCTACATGAATGCATATTTGGAAATTGATTGTGTCTTCTTATTATTTAAAATGTTCTAGGGGCAGAAAAGTTGACACATTTCTGCACAAAAAGTAGGCAAGGTCAACATTCTGGTGGAGTTATTTCAATTATTTGTCTAACCCTGAATATGTATCTGACAATGTACAAAGAGGCAGAAAAAAGGAAATAAGTGAAAAAACATTCACAAAAACTGCAGGAAAAAAAGCAAATTGAAATGACCATCAATGTGTGTATTAGCCAACTTCTGCAAACAATATTGTTCTCCTTACACATGCTTCTATATTGCAAGTGGCTTCAGGACCAGTCCTGGTGCAAATGACACATGTCATCAAGAAATTAATAGAAAAAAATACTTACCCTATAAAAAATGAAAATCAATCATCACAGCTGGGATTATATTTTCCACAATTTCCTCATTGAGGTACTGCATATTCATCACCAGAAATACAGCTAAAATTATGTCCTATTGGACCATTCAGTTTGAGGAGTTCTGTACAAAATGCTACACTGTGAACTGTTCAGAATATGAGAATTCTTTCACAAGAAACCATCAGGTCATGGCTCACTCCTAATAATTTTACTTTGGGTTATTTATGTAATCAACCATTCTCAATCATCAGACACAACTTAACCATGTTCACTTTGTTGGCGTGGTAATGATTGGTATACTATATTACATAAAGGAAGGGTTATTGGTGACTTACTAAGGTTGGCTTCTTATTTTGGATTTCTCATTGAGATAATTGGGACATTGAGAAAATCCAATGGCTCAAACATGAAATGGAAGATGATCTTCTGACCCCGAAGTAATAACACGAGGCGAAATTTGTCTATAAGGCAGGTCAGAAAAACCATATCCTGCGGAAAGAATTCATGTGCTGCGGGAGTTGCAGTTTGAAATAAGAGGGGTTTCATTTTTTCTTGTCAAAAGGGATGACTGTGTAATGTAAATTGGCTTGTCTGAATCATTGAATATATAGCTCAGAACCAAATATTCAATTGAATCTGCGAGGCCCATGGATGGCTTAATGCTTGGACAGCAAGAATAAAAGCAACTTTTCTGAATGGTCTCATGCATTGCTTTACTTGAACTGGTCTCATGCCAGAATGTCCTTCATTCATGTACAGTTGTACACGAAAGCAACTAAATTACTCTTTCTTTCTATGCAGAACGTAAGCCAGGTGAACACAATTTCTGTCAAAAGTGTATTTCAAACCATCAGCTCATCTGTTTTATACCTAAGCTTAGTTACTGAGGAATCTAGCACAATATCCTCGGACCTTGACGGAGGCACAGTCGAGGTGCCTCCGTCATACGGCAAATAAATGCAGTTTTTTTTTTTTTTTTTACCATTTGGCCAGCAAGAAGGGGTCTGTTCATCTCTCAAGATTATTACTGTTTGGAGTACAAGCCAAGCCATGAGTTATGCAAAAATACGTTGAAAAAATGCACCCGCTTGATGGAGACAAGAATTGAGATGAATTATTGTAATATCTTGTCATTCTGAAAGCTTAAACATATTTATTCCTATATCAGCCTGGTCTGGGTCCCTAACATGATTTCTATTGATACAGTACTTTCAAAAAAGCCTGCGGAATTGCTTTAACTTCTGCTGAAAATGCTGATGGCTGTTCCTATATAATTAATTTGAGGTCTTTCTTTGAAATCTGGGGTCAAGAATATTCTCGGGGAATCCCGGCAACTTATTCGTCTCTCTCCATGGGCTCTAAAACTTGAGTGCCAGAGCAATAATCCTTGCTTGAATGACGCAATGAACACTGGTGTGCCATGTGCTAACCCCAAGGCGGGTTGTGATTCAACATGTGATCCTGCTGCTGCAGCTGAGCATCTAGAACCTTCTATATAGGCGCCAGGATGTGTGCCTTCCGGTCGCCAAGAAGTTTTGTTCTTTGTTCTCACGTGGCTCAGCTGCTGGGGTGAGGGAAAATTCGCGCTCATCCTACGCAGTTGGCTTTCCTGGCGCCTGCGTTGAAATCCAGTCCCCTCTTCGCCATTCCGTGCTTACTGCGCGATCAGCCGTTGGGAACGTGGAAGTCGCGGTTCGCTGCCCTTACTGACTCGCGGACTCTTGCTTGTTGTGAGTGCTGTGCCGTGTGTGAATGAAGATGTACCTGCACAAGCGTGTGTTGGATACAGTAGTTAGGATGATGAAGCAAATTTCAGTGTGCTGGTGTTTGTGGTGGTGATCTCACCCTTTCAGATGAAATACATGTACAGTATACTTCAAAGTATTTTCTGTGATAGCGCTGCTTACGAAGCCCGCCGTGAACCTTGCGTTGGAATGGTGATCGGGCAGCACCATCAAATTCCTGGCGTCCTCTAGATTTACGGGAGGATTCTTGCTCCGTTATTCGCTATTAATATGCATTTATGCGAAGATTTTCTCAAACTTTTTACGAGCCTGGTCAAAGATAAACTTTTATGCCGGAACCTCCTTTTTAGTACAATTTCTGTAGTAATGGAACCCCGGGATATACCTTACCAAGTGCCGCCTTTACGAACTCCTGCGGAAATGAACGCTTCCGTACCCAACCTTGAAATGCGTGACGAGCTTCTGTGGAAGTTCTCGTCTATTCTTCGCAGGCACTATTTCACGGAAACGAAACTAACCTCACGTAACTTCAGTGAGCATTAAGCTGAGGATCCATTGAGATAGAATTGCGGTCTGATGGAAAATGGTCATTATGGAGGAACGCTGAGTCAAGTATGTTATGAGTAACAAGCAGCTGTTAACACACATCATTTTAAATAATTTAGTATCGCTCACGCGGCGGCAATGAGTACAGGAAATCGTGCACCATGAACAATACTCGTGATCCTGTCATCTCGCATTTTCATTATTCATGTGTTCACGCATTCGTTCGAAGGCCACGTCTATTACACTGGGTGCTCCAACTTTCGAACATTCGAAGTGTACACCGAACTAGGAAATCTGAAGAGTTGTTCACGATTCGTTTCTTGGCTTGTCTTGGAAGCTTTTGAATTTCTGTGCTTCGATCAAACATTCTTCCCATGGGGCATGCGCCTTGAGTGCTTCATCCTTCCGTGATGTGTTACGGTTGGTTAATGCTGTACTTCTGTACGTGGAAGTCGAAAATCCGTTCGATGTGTTCGGAGTTATTCTTGTCTTCGGCGAGGATAGGAATACTGCACTGCTTTGTCACAAATTTCTGTGCTGCTCTGTTACGCTGGGGGCTGAAGCGCGCGGAGAATCTCGTTTTCTCGTCGCTGCGTTTGATGAAAATAATGAAAGGTGGCTTCGTCGCGGTAGATCCTTATCAGCAGCGATTCGATTACCTGATGGACGTGTGAAACGCGGTCCTGAGCGTTTTCTTGTTTTCTTCTCCCAAGGTTGTGGGAAAAGAACGAGTTTTGCTGCGAACACTTGTCCGCTTATTGTGATCAGCATTTATAGAGAAAAAGAAACGCGATTTCAAAACTCAAGATGGCGGCGTCTCAGATTCGCATGAATTTCCACGAGGAAAGCGAAGCGGGAATCAACAAACAAATCAACTGGGAATTGTACGCCAGTTACGTCTACTTGTCAATGGTGAGATCATTCGCCATTGTTGACCGGATGTTGATTCCGGAAACTATTTTTGGCATTAAGATAAAATTGTTGCATATTGGTTCTCGTGTATAGAGCTCGTATTTTAGCCGTGATGACGTGGCCTTGCCCGGATTGGCCAAGTTTTTCGGCAAGGCCTCCGACGAAGAACGCGAACATGCCCAGAAACTGATCGCCTACCAGAACAAGCGCGGAGGACGCGTGGTTTTGAATCCCATTGACAAGCCCTCTCAGGACGAGTGGGGTAATGCGATCGATTCTCTGGTTGCAGCATTGGAGTTGGAGAAGACTGTCAACCAGGCAAGTGATGAATGCATCAGCAGTGCCTCGCTGATATGTGAAAGGTGTTGGGATGTTCACGCGCGTCGGACCTATATGAAGAAAGAATTATCTCCCACGCTTGTGCTTCCCGCGTCCCAAGATGAAGTAAAATTATAATCCTGATTTTCATCGCGCAGAAATCTCAATCCCGTTCTCAATACTCAGCACAATGAACATAACATGCGCATATAAAATTGAATGATAAAACCTTGAATGCCTACAGCGATTGCATGCCGTGTGTATTTGTACAGAAACATGTAAAAACATTTACAGTATTCCTGTACTTGAGTAAAATCTTGTGACAACGAACTCTCATGGACCTGGATAAAAATGTGTTGGAAAAACTCGTTATTTTGAGATTTGCCGTTTTAGACACATTTTAAGGCAGGCAGTTCGTCGTAAATTGTTGAGGAGTGCTGTGGGTGAGTGATCATTTAAGGTTGATCATTCTATCTGACCGGAATTAGGACAGACAATTAAATACTGTACGAATTTTGTTCCACTTCTTGTTTTCTAGATGTTATGCATTTCCCATTTCGAAGTACTTACCAAAGCTGAGTCCATGTATCATTTGCTGGTGATGAAGAAATCGTTTTCAAAAGAAATGATACCTGCAGCAGTATGGGGGAATTGTTCTACATCAGTTGAATCTCTGTAATTCAAGTCTCATCGGAAAATCTAATACCTATGCCTATGTCAATTTTTTCAAGTCTTTGTCTGAATTCCTTTGGAAATAATGCATTGAAAATCTCTAACTCAAAGACTTCCCCCCTCCCCTCAAACCTCCCTGCATCAACATTTCTGGAGGCCTTTTGGCCATTTTTTACGGACAGGAGAAGTAGAAGCAACAAAATGTAACGATGTGTTTTGGAAGGAAGAGAAAGACGATTGGGGCGAATGATCTCTTGCCTGGAAGTTCAGCATCCTGTCCACTCATGCCAAGCAGTAATTCAAGGCCCAGAATATCTGGAAAATTCCAATTTCGTTTAATTCTTCTTTCTCTACCAGGAGAAAATGCTCGTTTACCCGACTCGAATTTTGTTGCTGGTCCCTTAAAATTTGACCTGAAGACGAGGTTCGGATTGTATTTTGATCTGCAGAGTTTGCTGGATTTGCATGGAATCGCGACCAAGCACAACGACGCGCAGTTCTGCGACTTCTTGGAATCGGAATATCTGGGGGAACAGGTCGAAGCCCAGAAGGAGCTCGGTGACTTGATAACTCAACTCAAACGAGCTGGACCCGGGCTGGGCGAGTGGCAATTCGACCAGATGTTGCTGCACAAAGACTGAAGGGAATCGATTGATGGCAGGTCCTGGATTCGCTTGCATAGATCTTTTGTTTTTCACGCGTTCGTATTGTAGGCCTACCGTGTGAGTTTTGGATCCGTAATATTTTTGAGCGTCGTAATATATCGTTTCAGTTATTGAGAGAAGAGCGAATTGGCGGCGACGATAGGATTCCATCTGGGTTGGCTGGTGATGATGAGGATGAAATGCGGATGAGCGTATTTCAGTGATTTTCTAGGTCGCCGCGAGGATCGTAAAATTTGTAGAATTAACTGCTGTAATTTTGCAAAGTGAATCTTGATAACATTTTTTTTAATTCAAAGCCGTGAATATTGAACAGTTCATGAAGCGTCGAAATAGGCTCCACTCTTTCTTTTTTTTATTTGGTCAGAACTTTTGTTTTCGAGTCCCAAGTGCGAAACGAGAATATTTTCGTTTCACCGAATGAAGTTTTTGTTCCGTATTCGATTGAATTTTTTTATATTCTCAGTAATTGAGTCAACACGGTTTTATTGTGTGCTGACCGCTGGGTATGCGTTGCATTTTCACGAAATACAGCTCTTCACTGAAGATTCTCCCTAAATTTGTATGAAGCAATGAAGTCGATATCTGTGAAATAAATCAGGATGAATCACGATCTGCGTTTCGAAGGGCATTTGCTTAAGTCGGGAAGACAAATGATAGAATGATCTTTCTGCTTTCCTAGATTGATCTTGACAGTTTTTGATGGAAAATTCTGTCAAAGATGGGGAACTAGATGAATTGATGAATTTTTTCAAAAGCTGAAGGCTTACATTTTGTTAATATGTATGCTGTAGTTCTGTTATTTAATGGAATATCGGCGTATTAGAGAAATAGACCGATGAAATGTGTGCTTCAATATCAACTGAAATTTGTGTTGACGTACCAGGGTTCTACTAATTCTGTGTAACCTTCATTATTTCTCAAGCCGTTAGCCAAGCACGAAAATTTCAAACCTACACATCATGAAAATAAACGTAGGGAGCATGATAATTCTTCTTCAAATTACTTCGGTAATCGATTATCGTGATGAGAGAAAAGAAACGAGCCTGTTCTGCAATTGCTTATTGAACGTGTCCGCCCTCTCGTCAATTATTTGGTCGTTCTTGAATGAGTGAAAATTAAAATTTTTAAACACAGTATTTCTATTTTGCTGGGTAAAATTATACGGTTCTCATGTCGTACAGTGGCATTCACAAGTTATGATAGTCATGAAACTCATGACCATGCCAATATGCATTGGATAATCCTTGTATCCTTCCATGCCCTGAATGCTGTACACTGGAAAAGTAGAAAGTTTAATTTTTTTTACCATGATATTACGAATTTTGTGAGCAATGGTTTCAAGCATTCTCAAATTCCTACGAAATAGTGACGAATTCTTGAAAATTCATTTGAAAAGTAAATGCGAGCAAATATATCTACCATTAGTCAAGATGACTAATATTTTACAGTGGGAACATTATTCTGAGGCATTTCTGGCTAGGATGCACATTAGCTTCATTGCTGTATAAGAGAATCAATAAGAAACCTGGTCAGTTAATGTATTGGAAATTATTTTCTCTAAAACAAGATCAGACTACAGCAGGTAAAATTGAGGTAAGTTATAGGTTGGCTTATCTGAGTGCCATGAACAATACAGTTCACCCTTGATTCAGCGACTCAAGTTTCCCTGGTACACAACTTCCTCCATTATGTTCTCAGAGGAAGCCCAAATTTAGTGCCTTTGTCATACCTAAAAAATGGGTGGAAATTGAAATAATCTAGGCATTTTTTCAAGGAAATCATTGAATTGCGGGACTTCGAACTGAACCTCACATCCCCATGCTTACATAAGGCTCAGCATAATTTTGAAAAACCTATTTTTTGAATTTACATTACTGAAAAATATTCTTGCTGCATGATGTCCTCCTTTATTGAAAATATAAAAGTGGAAGCTTTTGCACAAACACTGGTAATTCCACACGTTGGCACTTCATGTAAAACTAACTAATGCACACAAAATCTTGAGAACTGCTGTGATACTGATTTTTTACTAGACCACGCATGATTAAAAATCTAATACTGTACATTCTACCTTGACACAATTTTTGAAATAATATATTTAAGAAGTTCATTTGAGCTTCAATTTACTGTTTTTATTCTGGCTTTTTCTGCAATAAAACATCCTGAATGGGCTAGAAATTCTGTAAACAAACTTATTCTTTATAATGGTAACCGCGAACTGGACCTCTCTTCCTCATACAATACCCTCAATTTAGTGCCACCCTTGCCATAGCAACTCAAAATGTGCCATTACAACCCATTGACAAGCCCTCTCAGGACGAGTGGGGTAATGCGATCGATTCTCTGGTTGCAGCATTGGAGTTGGAGAAGACTGTCAACCAGGCAAGTGATGAATGCATCAGCAGTGCCTCGCTGATATGTGGAAGGTGTTGGGGTGTTCACGCGCGTTGGACCTATATGAAGAAAGAATTATCTCCCACGCTTGTGCTTCCCGCGTCCCAAGATGAAGTAAAATTATAATCCTGATTTTCATCGCGCAGAAATCTCAATCCCGTTCTTAATACTCAGCACAATGAACATAATATGCGCATATAAAATCGAATGATAAAACCTTGAATGCATACAGCGATTGCATGCCGTGTGTATTTGTACAGAAACATGTAAAAACATGTACAATATTCCTGTATTTGAGTAAAATCTTGTAACAACGAACTCTCATGGACCTGGATAAAAATGAGTTGGAAAAACTCGTTATTTTGAGATTTGCCGTTTTAGACACATTTAAAGGCATGCACAGTTCGTCGTAAATTGTTGAAGAGTGCTATGGGTGAGTGATCATTTAAGGTTGATCATTCTATCTGACCGGAATTAGGACAGACTATTAAATACTGTACGAATATTGTTCCACTTCTTGTTTTCTAGATGTTATGCTTTTCCCATTTCGAAGTACTTACCAAAGCTGAGTCCATGTATCATTTGCTGGTGATGAAGAAATCGTTTTCAAAAGAAATGATACCTGCAGCAGTATGTGGGAATTGATCTACATCAGTTAAATCTCAATAACTCAAGTCTCGGAAAGTCAAATACCGATACGTATGTCAATTTTTTAAAAGTCTTTGTCTGAATTCCCTTGGAAATAATGCATTGAAAATCTATAACTGGAAGACTCCCCCCCCCCCCCCCCCCCCTCAAACCTCNGAATATCTGGGGGAACAGGTCGAAGCCCAGAAGGAGCTCGGTGACTTGATAACTCAACTCAAACGAGCTGGACCCGGGCTGGGCGAGTGGCAATTCGACCAGATGTTGCTGCACAAAGACTGAAGGGAATCGATTGATGGCAGGTCCTGGATTCGCTTGCATAGATCTTTTGTTTTTCACGCGTTCGTATTGTAGGCCTACCGTGTGAGTTTTGGATCCGTAATATTTTTGAGCGTCGTAATATATCGTTTCAGTTATTGAGAGAAGAGCGAATTGGCGGCGACGATAGGATTCCATCTGGGTTGGCTGGTGATGATGAGGATGAAATGCGGATGAGCGTATTTCAGTGATTTTCTAGGTCGCCGCGAGGATCGTAAAATTTGTAGAATTAACTGCTGTAATTTTGCAAAGTGAATCTTGATAACATTTTTTTTAATTCAAAGCCGTGAATATTGAACAGTTCATGAAGCGTCGAAATAGGCTCCACTCTTTCTTTTTTTTATTTGGTCAGAACTTTTGTTTTCGAGTCCCAGGTGCGAAACGAGAATATTTTCGTTTCACCGAATGAAGTTTTTGTTCCGTATTCGATTGAATTTTTTTATATTCTCAGTAATTGAGTCAACACGGTTTTATTGTGTGCTGACCGCTGGGATATGCGTTGAATTTTCACGAAATACAGCTCTTCACTGAAGATTCTCCCTAAATTTGTATGAAGCAATGAAGTCGATATCTGAAATAAATCAGGATGAATCACGATCTGCGTTTCGAAGGGCATTTGCTTAAGTCGGGAAGACAAATGATAGAATGATCTTTCCCAGATTGATCTTGACTGTTTTTGATGGAAAATTCTGTCAAAGATGGGGAACTTGATGAATTTCTTCAAAAGCTGAAGGCTTACATTTTGTTGATATGTATGCTGTAGTTCTGTTATTTAATGGAATATCGACGCATTAGAGAAATAGACGGATGAAATGTGTGCTTCAATATCAACTGAAATTTGTGTTGACGTACCAGGGTTCTACTAATTCTGTGTAACCTTCATTATTTCTCAAGCCGTTAGCCAAGCACGAACATTTCAAACCTACACATCATGAAAATAAACGTTGGGAGCATGATAATTCTTCTTCAAAATACTTCGTTGATCGATTATCGTGATGAGAGAAAAGAAACGAGCATGTTTTGCAATTGCTGATGGAACGTGTCCGCCTTCTCGTCAATTATTTGGTCGTTCTTGAATGAGTGAAAATTAAAATTTTTAAACACAGTAATTCTATTTTGCTGGGTAAAATTATACAGTACTCATGTCGTACAGTGGCATTCACAAGTTATGATAGTCATGAAACTCATGACCATGCCAATATACATCGGATAATCCTTCCATGCCCTGACAGCTGCACACTGGTAAAGTAGAAAGTTTAATTTTTTCACCTTGATCTTATGAATTTTGTGAGCAATGGTTTCAAGCATTCTCAAATTCTTACGAAATCGAGACGAATTCTTGAAAATTCATTTGAAAAGTAAATGCGAGCAAATAAATCTACCATCAGTCAAGATGACTAATATTTTACAGTGGGAACATTATTCTGAGGCATTTCTGGCTAGGATGCACATTAGCTTCATTGCTGTATTAGAGAATCAATAAGAAACCTGGTCAGATAATGTATTGGAAATTATTTTCTCTAAAACAAGATCAGACTAAAGCAGGTAAAATTGAGGTAAGTTATAGGTTGGGGTTATCTGAGTGCCATGAACAATACAGTTCACCCTTGATTCAGCGACTCAAGTTTCCCTGGTACACAACTTCCTCCATTATGTTCTTAGAGGAAGCCCAAATTAGTGCCTTTGTCATACCTAAAAAATGGGTGGAAATTGAAATAATCTAGGCATTTTTTCAAGGAAATCATTGAATTTTGGGACTTTGAACTGAACCTTACATCCCCATGCTTACATAAGGCTCAGCATAATTTTGAAAAACCTATTTTTTGATTTACATTACTGAAAAATATTCTTGTTGCATGATGTCCTCCTTTATTGAAAATATAAAAGTGGAAGCTTCTGCACAAACACTGGTAATTCCCCACGTTGGCACTTCATGTAAAACTAACTAATGCACACAAAATCTTGAGAACTGCTGTGATACTGATTTTTTACTAGACCACGCAGGATTAAAAATCTAATACTGTACATTCTACCTTGACACAATTTTTTAAATAATAAATTTAAGAAGTTCATTTGAACTTCAATTTACTGTATTTTTCTGGTTTTTTCTGCAGTATCCTGACACCCGATCTTTAAGACATTTGTTTGAATAAGAAATATTACCATTGGCGCTTGACCTGGAGAGAAGGAGTATGTTATGGGAGTTAAATCACGGTGGGAACGGTATCGTTGAGTTTTACACGGTAATGTAACGGTAGAACTGAATCAGGGGTTGACTATACAGTATTTGAACTTGAGAAGTACTGTACTGTACTTCACTTGAAGTTTTCAATCCTTCTTGTCATCCCTGAGTAGCACAGATGAGAGAAAATAAAAAGAAAATTATTCATCCCAACATTTTGTCAATCCCAATCCACACATTGCTTTGTCTGGGAGATGGCTGAAGCAATTTTCAATGAGGGTGGAGCAATCATGTGCAACGTGTGGTTCATAAGTCTTGATAAATGGTCAGTGAATGCTCTCCACTCAAGTGAAGTTTGATCAAGAGCAAATGCACACTTGCATGCTCTTCAAATCAGTGGGTGGGTCTGAGTGCAATATGGAGTGTTCGTTGGGGATGAAAAAAAAACATATCGACCATAAAGCTAAGCTTGAGGTTGTGTGAGTATGCACCCTGTGATCTGGCTATTCCTGGCAATTGAGAAAAACCTGAAACTGTGATATTTCGAACAGCAACAGACTCATTCTCACCGCTTAAAAGCGCCCTAATCAAGTAAGGGAACTCAATTCTCACTGCTGCTTCGGTGGATATTTTTTTCATGAGAAATTTTTCGAAATCCATGGAAATTATGTTGGACAGGCTTGAAGTGTTACTGAATGAAGGGTATTACAGATTTCAAGCAAAAAAAAACGCATTCCATAGATGCAAGATACATCTGGGCACTGTGGTGATTACCCAGCCTCCAAGGGACTTTAATTTATGAAATATAAATCTACATTTATGGCTGAAAAAATAAAGCAAGCTGGAGCATCCCCACTTCTTGGATGTCAAATAAAGACTTATGATAGTCTCATCACAGGCTTCTAAAAGACAGAAATCACGCACAAAATCATCAGATGAAAACACACTTGGTAAAATAAGAATTTGATTTGCCAAATGAGAAAATGCTTTGCATGTGGCGCAACTCATGATGCGCAAAATTCCAGAGCATATAATGCCACAAATTTCAGATCTAGAAAATGTTGCCAGATCTTAAATTGAAGCTAAAGATGTTTTCTAACTTATCTCTTATCATAGAAAAATATAATTTGACAAAAGGATCTTGATATTTTAACACTTTTTGGAACCTAACTTTTTCTTCAAAGATAAGAATCTGGAAAACTCTCAACTCAGAATTTTATCTCACTGATGCACAAGCTTCTTGTGCAAAAAGTGACTTCAAAAACCTAATTCCTATTCAATGAATTCATTTCTTCAAAATATGTGGCTATGTGAGAAAAAAAAACTTTGGATGTCTTGAAATACTGATGGATCCTCTTTTTTTCAAAGTATTGGGAGACATATGAACCAACCGTTCTACATTACATGAGGAAAGAACTGTACTGCATATAAAAAGGTCAAATCTTCAGTGAATTATTACACAGATCTATGAATTTTCTTACATTTCTTTTGTCTCATTGTCGGAAAAATTGAATGCCATACACTTTATTCATCCCAGCCTGTTTCTTAATTGAAATACTGTAAAGGTAAATCCATCTTATCATTCAGTTTACTTGTCAGAAAGGTATGCATTCTCAATTATGGGGTTGAAAATTTTCTGAGAAACATGTAATGTTCTGTATTTTCTTGACCAATAAATTCTTTCTATACAGAGAGTTAATAATAATAATGTTCATCTCCAATGAAATTGGAATGGTGCACCTGTCCAACTTTTTTCTGTTGAAAATCAAATATCCCTGCTATGACCTATGTACTGAATCAAGCCTAAAAATTTGCTATACTGAGATTAAAGCCTGAAATGAGTTTGGTTAAATGAGATTTTCATGATATTACACTTTTGGAGAAACTTCTGGGACCAAGAACGAATGTGTTATAGCAAAAATGTCGTCATTTATTGAGATTATTTGCAGTGGACTCTTACTGCAGTAGAAAACCGTGCGCGCTGATATAGTGCAATAAACAGTGCTGTATTGATCCATTGCTAAATAGCAATAAGGCCATCAACCAGAAGAAGCATCATCACTCTGATGATGAGGAGGTTATTGGGGATCCGTCTTGACTTTGATCCGATCCATCGCATATGCAATGCAGCCACGCGTGAGAATAATCAACGAATCCGGATTCCCTTATTTGTCTGTATTGATTTACCTACTTCCGCATCCGATATACATATAGATCTTCATCATCACGTGCGAGGAATATCTTCACCCACCAGCGGGGGTATATATGTACTGTATCTACGAGTGTGTATATATACACAGTATATACTGATGAACATCGATCAAATCTGCACCTTGGGTCAAGCTTGGGGCAGCAGCATGAGGTGATGCATTGTTGGCATTGCATCCCGAGGTCGACAGGTTTCAAAGTCTGAGAGCACCCAATCAAAAGTATCCTTGGCGTCTCGGATTAAAATATCTGGCGCGGAACACGTTTCCGTTGCTTTTGGAAACATGCAGAGTATATAATACTACTGTATATACAATATCTACAGTCGTGTATGGCAGCAGCACTGATGCAGAGAATTAAGAAGTTCTAGGAACCCATATAGCTGCAGCATGCGCGCGACCCCAGCAGCTCTTGTCATGACACGACCCATCATGTGTATATAGTATATCGTATATACATACTTATAGACACTCGCCAAGGCGACAATAATGATTTTCCAGCAGCTGTAGCGATGGACAGGCAACAGCATCACTGCTGCAATCAGATTACCCACGCCGGTGTCACGCCGGGAGAC